CTCTCATACATGCTTACAAAAAAAAAAAAAAATTAAGTTTGTTTGTTAACCCTACTTCATTTTACTACTTCATCATTTACCCTTGCTAAATGCAGCCTCATTATGACATATGGATTTCTCATGTGAAATTCCAACACAGACTTGATTCAAAGCAGAATACACTCAGCCCTTGAAGTTCTGCTCATATGCAGCTCTTCAAGTCAAATCATGTAAAACCTTCAGCCATTTGATGACTTGCACCTGTCTCACAGTATTTTTGAAGAACCCCTGGCTATTCAGAAATTGCTTTTTCCCCCATCTAAAAATCTCTTCTGTAAGACAGTTTCACTTCAAGTTTGCCAAAAGCACACTAACAGCAAGGATGGCATAAAGAAATCTAATCCAATCAACAAGCAGACAACTGTTTAATATCACCAAATAAAATGTACTCATCCATATCAGTCAGATCGTGTTTTCTCCAAACTAGTAAACAGCTGCAGACACAGTCTGCTTCCCATCAAATGTTCTGTGTATAACAAACTATACCTTGTATCTCTGATGGTTCACTAGTAATTTTTCAAAACCATGACTTTCAAAACATATGACAACTATATTTTATTGAAGAAAAGAATAGGCTTAGACTGCCCAAGCCACAAATAGAAGACCAATCCAGAAACTCTATTGTAGGTGCCAAAAGTCTGCTGAATGTCAGTATTTGCTGGCATTTTTATTATTATGAATACAAGTGCAGACCAACTTCTTCAAAGAAGAAACACACTTCAAGCATTACAGAAAAAGAAAACCTTACAACTCCTATTATAACAGCACAGCAACAGAGAAAATAACTCCTTTAACAGTGTCTGGAAGAGGTATCCCAAAGGAGTAGTTGCAAATGTGTTTAAAAGACAGAGAACCTTAAAAATAAATGCACATATTACATTCTGGTCTGTGGTATCAACAGTGCTAAAATAACTAGGAACTTTCAATTTCTAATAAAATTTTAACTGTCACAAACATGAAAACTACCCTTACTGAGATTGCTGAAGTACAAAACTTCTACCCACCATCATTTTTTGTGACTTATTTTCAATTCATTCACAAGGAAAAAAAAATCCTTGGAGGCGCGAGAAGACACAGAGGAAGCCAGACAGACTGAGACACACTTCCAAATCTCTGAACTGTAGTAAACTATTATGACCTTAAATCAGGTATTTACTATTTTTGCTTGGCTAGGTACATAAGTTCCTAGCCCTTTAAAAATCTAACTGACTCAACATACTTCAGAGAGCTGATTTTGCACTAATATGACTGTTATAAACTAAAATTAAGTGTATACTTTCTCTGACTCAGAGTAACAACAAACAGGATAATAAATCGGCAATAAAATAAGCAGGAAACAATGACCCAGACTACAACCTCTCAGACAGAGGACAATGCAGACTGGTCTGGTAAAAAAACCAGGACATCAACAACTAAAATTCTTACCCTACCCTATCCTATCCTAAAATCCTTGTCCATCACTGCAGCCTGACTTGCTTGTGGCACACAACTCCAAAAGACCTCCCCTGCTATTATTGTGATTGGAATTAATGTCACTTTTAGAAACATTAATTGTAGTTATGATGTCCACATGGTTATCCCCTGAACAAAACACTGAAAACACTAAAGAGCCGTATTCAATTCCTTTTCCGCACCTGGTTACCTATGGTAAGAATTGCAAAGAGACAACCGATTTCATCCATTTGAGAGTTCTTGAGAGTTACCTGATGGAGTTTTAACAGCAGCACATGCTCCTTCTAGGATCCCAAACATGCATCACTCAAAAGAGAAAATAATCTGGCCATAAACTACTAAACACTTACTTGCGTTACACTTCAAAAGTGAAGTTGAGCATGTCAACTTTGAGGACAATGAGGACAATGACGAACCATCTTTGTCAGTCCTGGAGACTGCTGTCACAGTATTGTTATGTAATGAATGAATTCTTGAATATATCACAAATCCAAGTTCTAGAAAATGTTTGGTGGTAAGCTCAGTAAAATCACTGCACTGTGACAGAGCAGATAAGGTAAATGCTTAAAGCTCACATTTCCAGTATTCAGCTCCTATGTGCAACCGATTTACTAGAATTAGAAAACTTGACGAAACTCTGAGGTTAACTGAACAAAGAACTCAGCTGCATTTCTTTTTTAAAAAATATAATTCATATATTAAGGAATGTATGCTACACTTGATGCATGACTTCAGGAAAGATTAACTGCAAATAACTACCAAACAGCTGTATGGCTTGTTTTCCAGTATGTATGGAAAGACAGACAGTACATAATGTAATGTCTTGAATTTCGGCACTAACATAACAGAAGATTTC